AACATTATATTAATTTATGTGCCCTATTGTAAAATTTATTGTATTTTTTTCTTTTTAACTTACAAACAAATATGTTGATTTTATAACACAAATATATACAATATTTTTATAAAATATATATATATGTATAACATTTATTTTAACTGCTAATTAACATTATAACAGAATAGCTTTTATTCTTTTTATATTAATTATTTTTATTCTTTTTATATTAATTATTTTCTGACGATTGCCAAATCACTTGTAATCCAAATTGCTGCGTAAGATAATTTGAAATGTGTCAACCATCTGAAAGGTTAAGCAGTATTGAGCATGCGCACAATCGTAGCCAATAAAAATTAGGCACAACTGCCCCCCGCATTTCGGCTTCATTCCCCTCGCCTATATTCTGGGTCTATGCTCCGTCCAGGGGGTTCAAACTCGCCGTATTTTTTGGCTCCGGAAGTTTTAGTAGTTCATTTCGGAGGTGCCCTAGGCCAGGCGGCAGCACAGTCGGTTCCCCTCTCTTCCTTTCTTCTCCCCTTGCCAACAAGTCGCTGAGTGCCATTAAAGTGCATGAAAGTGCATGAAAGTGCATGAAAGTATTGTGATATGTGGATTCTGTTACATATCGCTATATTTTTGTTGTTTCTTTTACTGTGTGTTGTGCAGTATATTGTGCTAAAATTTATTATTTAATCAACTTTATAAAGGTTGTATTATGGTGATTACTAGTGATTGTGGTGTTACTAGTGATTGTGTTGATTTTATCGTGTGATTATTGTCGATAGTTTTTATTTAATATAATTTCTTTACGTTATATATATTTAGGGCATTATTTAGTTATTATTTATTACTTATATTAATTTAAATTAATTAGTATAGTATATTAGAGTATATTGATTATTAAATCTAGAATATTAGTAGTAATATTAACAGTATAATATTTAGTAGTAATTATTCTTAGTAGTTATTAATAGTAATATTATTTATTTTTTAGGTCGTAATAAACATTTTAAGCCTCGTCTACAATAGTCGCACAGGCTGTGTCGCATGTCGTAAGTAGTAATGTCGCAGGAAAAGTTGTCGCATTGTCGCTTAGTAGATATCTACAACAGTCGCAAGAATTATTTGCGACAGCCAATCAAAAAATAGAGTGTGAAAATGTAACTTGAAACGTTTTTCTAAGTGCACTCTTCCGAAAATGATCGACAGGCAAAAAAGATTAGTACTCTTGCAGTTTCTGCAACTTTGCGCTCAATTTTTAATGTACAAGAATCAGCTAGCATGAACTAGCATATGCAAA